CAACGTCCTCCACAACTAGATTGAAGAACAAAAGGACAGCAACTTGTCTGTTCCCCTTCCCCCAATTCCCCAGTACTGTTCCCATCCCCCCAATTCCCCAATAAAAATCTTTAAAAAAAAAAAAAAAGAATAAAAGACTTAGGAATAAATTTAACTATGGAGTTGCAAGACTTACTGTTAAGTACAAAACGTTGCTGAAAGAAACTTGAGACAAACAAATGGGAAGACATCCCATGTTTGTAGTGTGGCAGACTTAATATAGTTAAGATGCCAGCACTACGCAAAGCAATCTACAGATACAGGGCAACTCCTACGGCATGTTTTACAGAAACAGAAAAACCCATTCTAAAATTCATGTGGACTCAAGGAACCACATATAACGAAACTATTGTTCAAAACAAAGTTCAAAGACCCACACAAACTTAGGGATTTCAAAACTTTCTACGAAGCTGCAGTAATCAGAATGGTGTGATCCTGCCATAAAAACAGTCATAAAGACCAATGCAGTACAACACAGACAGATCCTAGAAGTAAACTCTCACATGTATGGCTGATTGATTTTTTTTTTTTCAGTTATAACTGACATGATATTAGTTTCAGGTGTGCAACATAGTGATTAGACATATAACTTACATAGTGATCACCCTGATAAGCCTAGTACCTGTCTGACATCATGTCTAGTTATTACACTATTCTTGACTGTATTCCCTATGCTGTATTTTACATGGTTGATTGATTTTTGACTGGTATCAAAACAGTTCAGTGGCGAAGACAGTATTCGAATGGTGCTGGGAAAATTGGATATCCACATGCAAAAGAATAAAGGAGTACCATTATTTGACACCATCTACAGAAACTCAAAGTGGATCAAAATGACCTATAGTTAAGAGCTAAAACTGTAAAATCTTAAACTCTTAGAAGAAAATAGAGTAAAAGCTACATGACATTGGACTTGGCAATAGAGTCATAGATATGACACCAAAAGCACAGGCAACAAAAGAAAAAGATAAATTGGACTTCATCAAAATTGAAATCTTTTATGTTTAAAGGACACTATCAAGGGAGTGAAAAGATAACCTTCAGGATAGGAGAAGGTAGTCACAGATCGTATATCTGATTGGGGTTTAATGTCCAGAACATATATAAAGAACTCTACAACTCACCAGTAAAAATTCAGACAACCCATTTCAAAAATGGGCAAAGTACCTGAATAGACATTTCTCCAAAGAAGATAGAAGATAGGCCAGTAAGCACATCAAAAGATGTTCCACGTCGCTGAAACTAATTCTAACAAGTGTGTATTTCATAATAAAAAATAATTTAATATAAAAAAAAATTAATTTAAAAAAGAGATGCTCCACGTCATTAGTCATCAGGGGGTAAGGCGCATCCAAACCACAGTGAGGTAGCACTTCACAACTAGTTGGAGGACTCATAAAAAAAAGTGGAAAAAACAAGAGATTGACATTCTCTCGTGTTGCTGGTGGTAATGTAAGCAGTGCAGCCCCTGTGGAAAAATGGTTTTTCCTCCAAAGTTAGACACAGAATTACCTTACCATCCAGCAATCCCACCTCCTATGTGTACACCCTAAAGAATTGAAAACAGAGTCAAATACGGATGTTTGTAAGGAGCATTATTCACAAAGCCAAAAGGTAGAAACCACACAAGTGTTCATCAGCAGATGAATGGATAAACCAAGCATGGTATGCAAAGGAACGGAATTAGAAACATGCTATAACATGGATGAACTTTGAAAACGCTATGCTAAGTGAAATACACCAGACACAAAAAGACAAGTATTGTATGACTTCACTTCTATAAGGTATCTCGAATAAGCAAATTCAGAGACAAAAAGTAAAGTAGAAGTTGCCAGGGCCTAGGAGGAGGAGGGAATGGGACGTTTTTATTAATGGGTAGATTTTCTATTTGGGATGATGAAAAACGTCCTGGAGATAGTAGTGGTGGTTACATTGTGAATGTACTTAGTGCCACTGAATTGTATACTTGAAAATGATTTTAAAATAAATTTTGTGTTATTTATAATTTACCACAAAAAAATGATTTCTTGATAGAATTTCCCCATTTACTTCATGAGGAAAAATGTTTTGAAAACAAGAAGGTGGTAACTTCTTTAAATAAAACTATTAAAATAGGCTGTTACTTCCTTTGTTTTCCGTCTAGTAGAAGCTAAGCATTTTCACATACTTGTCAATTACTTGGTATAAAAATCCGGCCTGTTTTTAATCAGAGAATTTTTCAAATGAAAGCTAAGTTAATATTATTTGTTAGAAATTTAATCTACTTAAAATTTCTATGATTACTTCTAATGATTGTTTTGTTTTCTCGTCAGACAATTGAGCCAACTGGGAAGCGTTTCTTACTGGCTGTTGATGTCAGTGCTTCTATGAACCAAAGAGTTTTAGGCAGCGTCCTCAACGCCAGCACAGTCGCCGCAGCAATGTGCATGGTGAGAAGTTTTGCCACCCTAAAAAAATGTTTCCTGTGGTTAGGTAAAACTATAAAAAGCTAAATATGATCAGGAATTAGGTTTTCATTTGTTGTCATTTTGGTTTATTTGGCACATTTTCATTTCATTTAAATATCATTTCCAATCTAAAGATAATTAAAAATTAGTAAAGTTTTAAATATTGTATATATACTTAAGTACACTTATAGTTATGTATACTTATGTACTTAGGTGTACACAGTATTGCAGGTATATTGAAAAAGCATACCTAAAGAGCAATCAGAATAGAAATTTTAATTTTACAACCAAACATTAAGTATTAATAGTATTTTTGAGGAAGTAGATAATGTTTAGAGAAATTATGCATGAATATAGAAGTTAAAAGATCAGGAACTAGTAACACAGTCAGGACACTAGTAGCCTGACTGTCACTGATTAGCAATTAAATGAATCATAGGCAAGGAGCTTCTCAGCATCTCCTCTGTGGCTCTATTCCTTATGTAATGAACTGAGAGTGTATACTCTATTTGTTCCAAAGGATTGTTGTGAAAACCAGCTTCTTTGTAAAAGTTTGTAAAAGTACTTTGAAAGCTATACTACTGTCACTAAGGACTTCCAAAACACAATCCTATAAGTTTAGAACTAAAATAAGCATCAGTGTGTTTCCTTTAAAGACGAAGTTTTATGTATTGCAAGATACTGTATTTCTTTCCCCCAAATCTGCTGAAAATTGCTACCATTGAATTTTTCAGGTTGTCACACGAACAGAAAAAGATTCCTTTGTAGTTGCTTTTTCAGATAAAATGGTACCATGTCCAGTAACTACAGATATGACTTTACAACAGGTCTTAATGACTATGGATCAGGTAAGAAACTATTTTAAGTTTAGTTTACATTGAGTGTTAATTTTATTATTGATGTTATGCCTGATCTTAATGAATTGGTGAGAACAAATTGTTTCCTCTCAATTTTCTCACGGCACAAAATCAAAAACTACATATACAAGCTTTGAGAAGAGCTATATATCGGCTCTGAACAATATAATATAAAAATAGTACTTGTAAGTATTTATTTCAAACCTCTCAGTATGGAAACTAGGGCACTTTCCCTTCTTCTTACTCATGTTTTGTTCTGCATTAGATCCCGGCAGGTGGAACTGATTGCTCCGTTCCTATCACCTGGGCTCTGAGGACAAAGACAGCTGCTGACGTCTTTATTGTCCTTACTGACAACGAGACCTTCGCCGGGAGTGTCCATCCCGCTGTGGCCCTGCGGCAGTACCGAGAGGTGAAAACTTCTAGCATTCCTCCTCACCCCAGATAGACTCGCTTCTCAAACATTCACTATGGTTCTCAAAAAAGATACTGCAGGTAGTACCTTTGCATAGAAGCACTACAACGCTAGTACTGTGCTCAGCAGTACTTGAAATAAGAAAGGATTGGCTGCACATACACAATTTACTTCAGCCGGTTCCAATTCTATACATTACTAACAATGTCCTTTGTAAACAGTTTTTTTTTTTATAACAATCAGAACATTTATTGTAGCTTAACCATAAATTTCTCAGTGATTCAGTGTGGTCCTTGAAAGATTCAAGTATCATCCGTGAGTTTTGTTAAAGGACTACCTAAAATTAAAGCAAAGCTCTAATGTATTTTAAGTTTTATGGATATTTCTGTGTTCTAAGCAGGCTCTCCAGTTGAACTTTCTGAAAAGATGGAAATGTTCTTTGTCCTCACTGGGCAGCATGGTAGCCACTAGTCATGCAGGGCCATTTAGCACTGGAATGGTGGCTCATGTGACTGGCAGGAGAAATATCGTGTTTCCCTGAAAATAGACCTAGCTGGAAAATAAGCCCTAGCATGATTTTTCAGAATGCTTATAACATAAGACCTATCCCAAACATAAGCCCCAGTTAAGATTGTCAGCCAGATATGACTGTAGGAATAAACGTAGATTTTTGTACATGAATAAATGTAGATTGTTGGAGCAAAAATTAATATGAGACCCAGCCTTATTTTTGGGGGCAACACAGTAGAACTTGGTGAAGAGCAGTGGTTCTGAAAGCGTGGTTCCCCTACCAGCAGCCTCAGCATTACCTTGGACCTGCTTCAAAATGCAGATCTCAGACCCCTGGGACACCTGTTGATGGAGTCACAGCAGTCTGGGCTCTGAATCCTGGTTTTTTCTCTTCTGCTAACTGTGGGCCTGAGCACATTATGTAACTGATACACGTCACAGTGTAAGTTGTGGTGTTAATAGGACTGCTTACCCTTTAGGATTGTTTCAGCAACTGCATTAGGTAACTTAACCGAGAGAGCCCATTACAGTATCTGACATAGTGCACCTTGAGTGGTGGCGGTTTTATCTCAAAAACTCAACTATTTAACAAATCATACCTATAGTGAACAGGTTCTTACATGTGAGAAATATATATTATACATAGCAAAGTCAGAGACCAAAAATCAAGTGATTTCCTTTTTATATACATACACACAGACACCACATACACACACACACACAGCCTAGTATTTGATATGTGGGTAAAAATGTCTGATTGAATATCCTGACAGATTTCGTAAGTACAAAACGCCTAGGCTGCTCAGGAATGTATCCTGTGGCCCTCAAAACGAGTAATATAGAAAAGCAGGAATTTCAGGTAGGTTGTTTACACAATTCTACTTTCTAGCCCTAAAAGATTAACAGATTTTATAGAGGAAAAAAAAATTGACTTTGTAACAAAAAGCTGTGATAGACAGAATTTTAAGTGTTTTAGTTTTGGAGATTATTTGCTTTGGCTTACATAAAATTTTTAAAATATGTGTTTTGATCTTTTCCAACAGAAAATGGATATCCCAGCTAAACTGATTGTTTGTGGAATGGCATCGAATGGTTTTACTATTGCAGACCCAGACGACAGAGGCATGTTGGATATGTGTGGCTTTGATACAGGAGCTCTGGATGTAATTCGAAATTTCACATTAGATATGATTTAAACACAGGCCACCACCATGATCTAAGAGGTCTGTTGCCATTAGTGATCTCATTAAAAACATGCAGCTACTTCCCAGCTAAGCTTAATCCAATGAAAGATAAGAGGATGGCATAGTATGTGCATAGCAGAAAGTTACCTTACCAAAAAGAAAAAAGAAAAGATAAGCCCAAAGTTCTTTGTCTACTAACCAAGCTCCTGGGAAGTAGCTTCAGATACACTGTAGCTCCATGTAATAGAGAACTTCCTGTTGATAGACACTGTAAAATAGTCTAACAGTTTTGCTTTGGTGAATAATCACATTTGTACTTAAAAGAAGAGCCAAAAGTGTAAGTAATTCCATAGTAGTCACTTGTTGGAGAAGTGCTTACAGTTTTCTTAAACGTTTTCATTGGGAAAGGACAGCTTCGATAATGTCCATAGACTCTGAAATGCACTGGACCATGTAACTGTGATGGAGTGTGAAACTCATCTGTAAACTTTTATATGGGGTGGAGGGCGGAGGGTGTAAAACACAGAAACCAAGACATTTGCTTACGTTACGAATGAGTTTTTAAAAATTCCTCTAAGAATTTTCTAATGTCACATAAATAGCAGCTTTCTTATTCAGTACAAAAGAAACTTTGTTTCTCGTGTTTTATTTACACTTGTAGAATTGTTACCATTAACCAGAAACATACTGGAAACCCTGAGAAGGGGCTCTAATGTTAGTGTCCACAAGGAAGTCTCTGGTTTGCTTTTTTTTGTTTGTTTCTGTGTATTTTATTGCTGTGAGTTAGGAGCATGACTTGACAGCTTCCTCAGAAATATAGCAACATAGCCACATGGAGTACTTTCTTTTTTTCATCTCTTAAATGAAGATAACATAAAATGTTTCAAGAATTTAACTCCCCCATTCATAATGTGAAAATATGACAAAGTCTCAACTATGACCTTAAGATTAACTGTTTCCTTACTTTAAAATAAATATTGTTCTAATTACTTTTAACTATTTTTTTAGCCAACTGTAAATGGGTTTTAGATATTTTCTAATTGTAAACATGTCAGTGGCCTATTTCTTTGTCCCTTATTGGCAAAACATTGTTTTTTGACAGAGTAAAAAAATAAACTAGGTCTTTGAAAGGTAATTTTTGAGTAATGAATTTCCGCTAACCAGTCTGTAAGAAAGTATTTTTTTTCTATTTTGTTTGTCTATATTAAACTTCTTTTCATTACACTAAAGTGCATTATTTTCTTGAGCAAATGCCCCTTTGTGGGAGGTTTAACCTGTTGAAATGCCAATATCTTTGCTTATAATTATATCATGGTTGTCTAAGCTTACACATAAAACTTAAAATTTTATGTATTGTTCTTTAAGTAGTAATTAAGGATTTACTGAGGATTTATAAATCCCTTCTTATTTGAAAACGCAAACTAGTAAATGTAAATTATAGCCTTTTGAGTGCTTGGGGTTTAGAGGTTTTGTTTTGGGGGAAGGGGGACTTTAGTAATGTTAAAATTTGTATAGATAATGTCTTTTTCATGGGAAATCTGGGCTCTGGGAGTGACAACAAAATCTTCCTTTCAAATTTATTTGACATATTAATGCTAGCTCTGATGTGTAGCTTCAAGACAACTGGTAGCAATTTGTAAATGTGTTTTACCTAAGATTGTTTTGGTCAGCAAAGCTAATAGCACCGTTTCCCACCCCCACTCCACCCCCCAAAAAAATACATTGCTTCTAATTTCGTTTTGTTTTTTTAACTATCAAACATTGGGTTTAACGAGTTAGCTACTTTTGATACATTAAAATATTACAGTCAGATTGAATTTAAGGTTTAAAGAACATAATAGAATTGTGTAATAGTTATTGAATTCTTTAAGTTAAACACAAGAACTTAAATTAAAAATTATAAAATGATCTAACTTTTTACTCCTAATTGAAATGAAGTGAAATGTAGTATGTATTTCAATTAGGTACTGTTTTTAATAGTGTTTTTAGACAGATATTCTTGAGCGAATATTAAATCCATCAAAGAAGTAAAATTAGATGTGACCTTTTTTTGAAGTATTTAGGTAAGTCAAATGGATTAGGGTAAGATTTAAGAAAGGAGGAAAAAAACTAAATGAACAACCACAGAAGGTAATTTTATTTTCAAGTCCTTGAATCTTAGAGCTGGAAGAAACCTTAGAAATTTAAAAGGTGATTTTTTTTAAATTTTAGGATAGGTATCCGAGGTCCGAGAGTGTGGCTTTGGAGCACTAGATTAGAAACCTTGGTCTCTTCATTCCAGTTCAGTACCCACGTCCCCACAAAATGGGGCGCACACTCACTCACACGAGTAGGGAATAAAATAGAATTACTCAAGACTTTTATCCCTTAGGCATTAGGAAATAATGTATATACATGATGGTTTTAGGAGTAGAAAAGCATAGAAATTGTAAATATGTATACTTTTGCATTTCATAGTAATCCTCAAGCACAATGTCTTAATAACCTGTATTGCTATATAACATAGTCCTATAGAAAAATTTTTAAAAACTTTACCTCATTATGACTAAAATGGACTCAAGTGATAAAGAAGTTTCATTTTCTGAATTACTTTTAGGATTACTGCTACTTTAGTATTTAGGGAAGTGTTGCTTTAAAAAAACAACCCTAAGAAAAATAAACTATTTCCTAGAAAAATGTAAACATTTTCAGGATATAGTTGTAATTAGTAAAAAAAAAAAAAAATCTTAAACTCCTACTCTTGTTAGTTGAAATTTCTTGGAAATTCCATTAATTAGCACTGTTATATATTATTTAGTTTAGTAACTGTTTTCTGGGAATATTAGTGAGGAAGATGCTAGTAAATGGAGTTTA